ACTTTGCAACTACTTGATGTTTAATTCTGAAACTTTCGCAAAAACTTTCCTACATAGACATTTACAACACTGTTTTAAAACAAAAAATTTATTTCAAACTTTATAACACAACTTTTGCATTTGAAAACAAACACCCTCTTAATTGTNTATGAAAATCAGGACCGCACCGCAACTATATAAATAAATAAATATAACTGAAAGTCCTCTCAACTGGTGCAGTGTCAATCGAAAAGAATTTACAATTTTGCCAAGTTTCAAGTTTGTCGCCTCGAGCGAGTACATAGTTAAGTATATATATAGTGGCGCAGGTTTGATTTACGACCCTTAAAGAAGTTTTTATTAAGTACAATGTTCCAATTTTTAAGTTCAAGTACTAAAAAAACATTCAGTCTTATCATGAGTTTAATTTTCCCCGAACCGGTTCACTTTTCACTTTTGGTTTTCATGTACATATTTACTATGGGCAGAATACAAATTTTCGGGCGAATTTCTTTTCGGGCAAAACTCAAAAAAGGCAGATTATTAAAAATTATTAGCCTTTCCATTTTTTATTTACCTAAATCACCTAATTTACCCACCTAAATTATTTCTTAAAAATAAATGACATCCGCATTAGCTTTTAAACATCCGCATTCGCATCCGCGGATGTCTAAAATTCCACATTCGCAACATCCCTAGTCCCAGCGCCATGAGCGGTGCAAAACAAGCTGCTTTTCGACTAGCTGCGAAGCAGACAGAAAATAGGAAAAATAATTCGAAAACTATGATTTCTATAGATTTTTGTACGGGCTATGCGATGGCACTATGCGTTTTCCAAAATTTTCCCATTTTCATGGTGAAAATTCTGAACGAAAATTTATTTGTAATTTTTCTGAATTATGGTCATTTTTAATAGTGTTTTTAGTTATCTCAATCGAAAGATCAAGTCTTTTTACATATAAATCACTAATAAAAAAGGACGTTTTTCACTTTTCCGAGTTATAAAGCCTTTTAGAGCGCAGCGCGCTAATCTGATAACCGTGTGAGTCATAATAATATTGTTATAACTTTGCAACTACTTGATGTTTAATTCTGAAACTTTCGCAAAAACTTTCCTACATAGACATTTACAACACTGTTTTAAAACAAAAAATTTATTTCAAACTTTATAACACAACTTTTGCATTTGAAAACAAACACCCTCTTAATTGTCATAAAAAAGTTATACACCTGTAGTTTTATTTGTAGTGAGTATTAAGAAGTGGTATTAAACTTAAATTCTTTGGAATAGTTTGTAGTTTATTGTGTGAAAATTTCAAATCGATCGATACACAAACGACTGAGATATAGCGCGTTTAAAACTATGTTCACATATCAATATTATCCCAATCAAAGCTCGTTTTTTAATCACCCCGTTTACACAGGCAAATCTCAGATTATCAGCCGTCAAATTTGTTGTGCTTGTTATTCTCACATCTCAATGAAAAGTTATGTTTCTTCTCTGTGCCACCGTGATCATGTTTTTATGCTATAATAAGCAATATAAATATATTTTAACTTAATATTTTATTAAAAATACCTTTACAAACCTAATTTCCTTGCTAGCGTACATTTTTGTTTACTTTTACNACATCCGCATTAGCTTTTAAACATCCGCATTCGCATCCGCGGATGTCTAAAATTCCACATTCGCAACATCCCTAGTCCCAGCGCCATGAGCGGTGCAAAACAAGCTGCTTTTCGACTAGCTGCGAAGCAGACAGAAAATAGGAAAAATAATTCGAAAACTATGATTTCTATAGATTTTTGTACGGGCTATGCGATGGCACTATGCGTTTTCCAAAATTTTCCCATTTTCATGGTGAAAATTCTGAACGAAAATTTATTTGTAATTTTTCTGAATTATGGTCATTTTTAATAGTGTTTTTAGTTATCTCAATCGAAAGATCAAGTCTTTTTACATATAAATCACTAATAAAAAAGGACGTTTTTCACTTTTCCGAGTTATAAAGCCTTTTAGAGCGCAGCGCGCTAATCTGATAACCGTGTGAGTCATAATAATATTGTTATAACTTTGCAACTACTTGATGTTTAATTCTGAAACTTTCGCAAAAACTTTCCTACATAGACATTTACAACACTGTTTTAAAACAAAAAATTTATTTCAAACTTTATAACACAACTTTTGCATTTGAAAACAAACACCCTCTTAATTGTCATAAAAAAGTTATACACCTGTAGTTTTATTTGTAGTGAGTATTAAGAAGTGGTATTAAACTTAAATTCTTTGGAATAGTTTGTAGTTTATTGTGTGAAAATTTCAAATCGATCGATACACAAACGACTGAGATATAGCGCGTTTAAAACTATGTTCACATATCAATATTATCCCAATCAAAGCTCGTTTTTTAATCACCCCGTTTACACAGGCAAATCTCAGATTATCAGCCGTCAAATTTGTTGTGCTTGTTATTCTCACATCTCAATGAAAAGTTATGTTTCTTCTCTGTGCCACCGTGATCATGTTTTTATGCTATAATAAGCAATATAAATATATTTTAACTTAATATTTTATTAAAAATACCTTTACAAACCTAATTTCCTTGCTAGCGTACATTTTTGTTTACTTTTACATTTGGCATTTCTCCTCTTTTTTGCAAAAACAATCGATAAAACTAGGATGGACACCGAAAAGTTATCGGTTTAATCTGAGATTATTTTATAATTACAGATTAACAAGGGACGAATTTTATATGGCTAATCTCTTGTTATAATTACAGATTAG